TAAACTCCCATTTTCTATTTCTAAACCTAAGAAATTAATCTTGGTTTGGGCAATCTTTGCTTTTTTCTCAGAGAGTATTATTCCTTCTTTGAGACATTGTTCAAGTACACGGATTACATGTACATAATGATCTTGTTCAGTTTTGCTGAAGACTATTATATCATCAACATAGACTGTACAAATATTTTTAAACTCTTTACTTGGGTCTTTTAGACACAAAGCATTATCAATTCTTCGTTGGAATATTCCAGGTGCTTGTTTTAGTCCAAAAGGGACTACATTCCACTCATAATGTCCATTGGGACAACTGAATGCTGTTAATTTTCGACATTCTTCTTTAAGAGGTACTTGCCAAAAGCCACTCTTACAGTCAAATGTACTAAAATATTTCATGTCTTTGATTAAATGGAATAATTCTTCCTTTTTAGGTAAGAAATATCCATCCATTTCAGTATAGTCATTTAACCTTTTGTAGTTGATGACCATTCTTCTTTTATTTCGTCTCTTTTCTGATTCTTTTTCAACCAGAAAGGCTGGACTACTATGCATTGAATTACTTGGTCTAATTACTTTTATTTCAAGTAATTCTTTTATCTGTATATTAAATTCTTCTCTGTCTCGAGGAGTATAACTCATGGGTTTAACTCTTATAACTTTTGTAGGATCAATGAGTTTTATTTCAGCATGTAAAGCTTTATTTTGTATGCTTTTATTTAGTATTTTATCTAACGGGTTTTCACTCGTTATTTTCTTAAGAGCTTTTTGGCAATCTTCAAGAGATAGTTTATAAATCGTTTCGTGTTGTGAAAGTAAAGTTTTCATAATAAATTTACATTGCATTATTTTGAAAAAGATTCTTTCTAGATCTTTTGTTTCCTCATTATATGCAATATTTTTCTTTGGATTTTTTATAACCTCACCACGTTTTCGTAGTTTGGCGTTATGTTCCATAAATTTTTCGGATGCAAAGCTATAAGCTTTACTGACAATACTAATATGTACTGCTGTACCATTAAGATGGAGCAAGACATAATCAAGTTCTTGAACAAACAGTCTGTATAATTTCAAAAAATTGTTTCCTATTAATAAATCAACTCCAGTATCTTGTTGATATATTGTAGGAACATGAAACTGTTCACCGGCAATGTGAAAAGTTACATTATAGGCTACTTTTGAGAGGGTAATAACCTCTTTATTGGCAACTTGTGCTGTAATCTTTTGTTTAGCAGTTTCCCACTTTTCTTTGGGTAATACTAACTGATTTGCAGCGCAAATACTTGCTCCAGTATCAATATACCCATGAAGGTGATATTGTTTATATCCAGGAAATTTAAATCCAACTTTTATATATGTACTATTTGGATTGGTTATATTTGACAATCGTTCCATTCATCAGAACTTTCATCACTACAACTTTCCCATTCTGAATTTGGTTTTGTACTAAACCTTTTAAATTCTAATTCAAATTTTAATTCATATTCTGAGCTATTTGAATCATTTTCTGACTCAATTGGTTCAAAACTGTATTTTTGCATTGCATAAAGCATTTTTACTTTATCTTTTTGTTCATTTCTTTTTGGACATTCGTTAGCATAATGTCCTTCTTCTTGACATAACCAACACTTACAATTAGTTTTACCCTTAGGGCAATACTTATTGTTTTTCTTTCCAAACCTTTTTCTATATTTTGGTTTATTAGTATTATTATAACTTTCTTTTTTATATTTTCTATACTTGGGAATGTATCTCTTATATTTTTTAAATTTTTGCTTGTTTTGTTTGCGATAAATCTTTTCTTTCTTTGTTCTACATCCCCATTTATTTGGGATTTCTAAAAGTTGTGGATCACAACAAGGTTTATTTTGGTAGTATAAAAGAGTTCCTCTTAATTGGGTGTCTTTGCATCTATCTTCTATTGTTTTTTTTAGAAGATTAACTCTTCCTGCAAAGCCATCGGTAATATGGTCAGATTTATTAGACCATTTTTTATTCATTTCAAAAGCCCACAAAGGTGGTAGTTTATTAAAATATTTTTCAGCATAAGCTGGTCTATCTTCTTGTCTTAACACGTAGTACCATTTTTCATACTCACATGTATAATTTTTCCAATAACAGATATCACATATCTGAATATTATCTAAAATGAACTTTGCCTTTTTATGTCTTTCTTCTAAGACAACGTTTGTAGTATCTAGTTCTCTTACTCCTACAAATTCATTAATTAGTAATTTAGCAAGAGCATTTAGATATTCTATGTTATCTTCTGGTTTATTCCAATGAGCATCAAGGCTAGGAACATATGGATTTGAGTCCCACCAATTTTTAACATTTCCTTTCATATGAAGTTCTAAGTATGTTCTCAGTGTTCTTAGGTCTTCAAATGCTTCTTTATTAGTTTGTATTACTACTAACATGTAGTTGTACCAACTTTTTATTTTTTCAACCGGTTTTGCTAAACAGTCTAAGTCAAGAATGTTGTCGTTATTATTTTTCGAGTCATCTCTTGGAATAAACTCTTTTGGAATAAAATTCTTTGATTTTTTCTTATAAGTTTTAGTTTTGCTTCTATTCATATTCATCATTCCTGGGAAGTTTACTTCTGGGAATGTTTCATATGTTTTATCTTCGTCTGATACTCCAAAATACCTATCAGCATTTGGATTGTAAAATTCATCATTTCTACATTCTTCAGGAGTCATGAATTCATGGGTATCACAATAATTACTTGGTCCTGGAGGAATATCCTTCAGGTCTTCTTCAATCTTTACATTTAAGCGATTTTTAGGTTCTGAACTATCACTTTCTGTACAAGATTCACTATAATTACCTATGAATTCTTTCAAAGATAATATATTCTGATATTTATCTATTAAAGATTGAACATCAGTTTCATTTTGACTCAATTCTGAATCAGAACTCATTTTTTCTCTTCTAGTCTTTTATATTTGTCCTTTTCAAATAAATCTTTAAGATTCCATTCATTGGGGGGTCTATAAGTAGGTATAGACTTCTTTTCTTTAAAGACTTTTATAAGTTTTTCTATTTCTATTGTTTTTGTGTCTTGGTTACTAGAATCGGACTGATGTATTGTTTGTTCTATTTTTAGAACGATTTCTTTTATTTCACTAACTATTGTTAGAATTTGTTGTACATTTCCTATTTCCGGATTTTTAGACATTTATTCCTAACTCATTTCCAATTTGATTTACAAGTTGGATTACTTTATTTAGTTTTTCTATTAGTGGGTCAATTTTTGGGATTTTCCCATCTAATTTTGTTAGAGTTTCTTCTAATCTGTTTATGTTTATCTTATTAATATTTTCTATGATTTTATCAGCTTTTGCTGCAATATCAAGAATTTCTGAAAGTAAAGTATCAAGAAATTCAATATTTCTACTTGTTTTTTCGAGTCACTGGTACATTTTCTTTAAAGGAGTGGTACAAAGATAAAATTGTGTTTTATCTAATTGGTATAAGGGTAAAAATGTATTTTTCCCTTATGAGGGGACCAATTCTTTTGTCTTTAGGGAGTGGAAAGGAAGAAAATTTTGTTAGGGATTGAAGAGGAAAGTGAAAGTAGGTTTGGGAATTTAAAAGGAATTACCGCAAAAATTAAACGTATATATGATATTTTTGTTCTTTAAAAAAATAAAAAAAAAATTGGGTCTTTATTTTTAAAATTTGTATACAAATCCAAAAAATGGATGATTTATTTGGTTGACCAAGTTTTTTTTTGCATAAACTGACTGAATTGACTTTGTCAAAAATCATACTACTAATCAAAATATACAAAGATTTGGTTAAAATAGCAACCCGAATTCATTCCACACAAGAAGCAAAGATGATCAAACAGATCCTACTAACCCTCCTCTTCCTAATCCTTCTCGCCCGCCCCTCCCTCGGCCGGAGCCCCCACCTCATCCACCTCCGGTGGCCGGACCTCTACCCGCCCTCCCTCGCCTGGGACCCCAACGCCGACCACTTCCTCCTCCCCTCCCTCCGCCACCCCCACCTCGTCTCCGTCTCCGACGCCGGCGTCTCCTCCGCCCTCCTCTCCGACGACTCCCTCCCCCCCAACTCCTCCTTCGTCGCCGTCTCCCTCGACTCCCGCCTCCGCCGCCTCCTCGTCGTCGTCCGTAGCCCCACCCCGCCCCTCTCCGCCCTCGCCGCCTACGACCTCCCCACCTCCCGCCGCCTCTTCCTCGCCTCGCTCGACGGCCTCATCTCCTCCCCCGCCGCCGCGAGCCACGTCGCCGCCGACTACTCCGGCAACGCCTACGTCACCGACTCCGCCAACGGCGCCCTCTACCGGGTCACCGAGCGGGGCGAGGCCACGGTTCTGTCCAGATCCCAAGCCTTCAGATCCGGATCTGGAGACGGCGGGCTCAACGGCGTCGTGTACAACTCCAAGGGCTACCTCCTGGTGACCCAATCGAGCATGGGGAAGCTGTTCAAGGTCAACGCCGACGACGGCACGGCGAGGCGCGTGATTTTGAATAGGGATCTGACGGGGGCCGGCGGGATCGCCACCCGGCGCGACGGCGTGGTGGTGGTGGTCTCGAGGCAGAAGCTGTACTTCGTGAAGAGCGACGACAGCTGGGGGGAGGGCGTGGTGTTCGACGAAACTGCCCTTGACGAGGCGGGGCACGCCAGTGGCGTGGCGGTGGCGGCGGAGGGCCGCGTCTACGTGGTGTACGGCCACGTGGGCGAGGGCATGATGGGAAACTCCGGCAGGGAAGAGTTCAGCATAGTGGAGGTGAGGTCGGAGGTTGAGGGCAAAGATGATAATGTGTGGATATTTGTTCTTCTTGGCCTGGGTTTGGCTTATTTCTTGTATTGGAGATTTCAGATGAAACAGCTTGTGCAGAATATGGACAAGAAAACTTCTTGATCTTTTTTTTTTTTGTTTTTTTTTTTANGATTTGATTTAGGTATTTTTATTTAGTTGTTAGTGTAGCAGAATGTTATACTTCATTTGTGAGATTTAAATAAAATTCATGTTTTGCATTGGATCAATTTGAAATCTTTTATTACCTATCAAATCCAGACCAGAAAACAGCAAATGAATGACCCAGACACACATGGACACAAATATTTATTGAAAACACCACATTATGTTCTCTCCCAAATCAGGCTCACATAAAGATAACTGGGCAAACAAGAAAGTACAATACAATGTGTAGATGTTAAGGCAAAGTGGACTCCACAGTTTTGCCATTGATGATATTTGGAAGTGCAGGAATGAATGTCTCTGCTTTTGGAACTTTTTTCTCTTCATCACCGTTTTCTGGCGTTGTGTTTGCTTTGTTTTCCTCCTTTTTAGCTTCCAGCTTGGACAAACCAGCCTTCTGCCTAAGCTCCTCGAATTTTTCCATGATCTTCTGCTTTATAGTGGCATTTCTTGGTCGTGCCTCTGCAGATGGCGGCAGGAGAAGAGAGAGAAGACTTACAGATGCAGCTGTTAGTTGCATCATTTCCCGTCTGGATTTGGCCGTGAGGCTTCGTGTTTGTGCCAACAATGGTTTCTCTTTCACCTACAAACAAAAGAATTAACATAAATGATAATAAAGAATACTTTACAAAGAAGTTCAAAATTGAAATCCAGGTATATGGAACTTGGAGAAAAGAGCTAGCTAGTATTATCTTTCGACAGAAGAGTTCTTTAAAAATGTCGGGTAAATGAAACCAAGGCAACCTATTGTTCGGTAAATGTAAAACAAGTGAAGTTTTATTATATTTGTTTAGACACTTCCTTTCTGAATTTTCATTTCCTTTTGAAAGAAGAATGATCAGAGCATATCCAAAGAGTTCTTGGTAGAATGGGAGAAGATTAAAAACTAAAGTTGCACAACGTTCACAATGAACACTGTCATAGGTTAACTTCGACTTAATAGATGAGGATGCTTATCAATCCATGTCACAACTCAGAAAATGCTGAGGCAAAGTCAAATGGAGAACACCGGTTTGGTTTTTTAATAGGAAAACAATATTTTTAGGTCCACGCCCGGCTTACCATTTTCAGTAAGTCCTTTCACGGAAAAACAATATTTGAACATGACCATACTGTTCTGTTGAGATACTCCTTTAAGATATATGGGCTGATGAAAATACTCCAACCAATTATATTGGTACACCCTAATAATGTCCAGCATATGACATAACTAATAAATTCAAGATGGCAGCATAATTGCATAAAGGAAGATTCAAAATTTGAAATTTCAGGATTAGACCTCATTCCTCACCTCTTTTTCAAGCAAATAATGTGAATGAGAGAAATCCATCAAAAGTGAAACTATACTGAACTCTCAGCGTCAGATTACATTTTTGCTCAAACGTACTCACCCTGATATTACACTGAGAAGCCAGATTAAGTTTTAGTTATTGAAGCATATCATGCTTCCAACCATATAAAAACCACGGTTAAGATAGAAGCCCAAAAATCTCGAAACTATCCTCACCAAGCTCTCACAAGTCACAACCAAACAATTTTCTGCAATTTCTAGTGCCCTTTCAGTAATTATTTCCAAGACAGGACAACTCCAAGGATATTTAATTGCACAATTAGCTCAAGTAAGCGGATGAATACGATATAATCAGACAAAAGATGCACATTTTATGGCTGTTCTAAAGAACAAGATTCACCTGTAAATCATAATGCTAAATATCATGGGATACTGAACAGAAAAAATAAAAAAGTATAAAGCCACAAATACAGATTTCAATAATCTCAGTAGCACAACCTTACAGGAATTTCAGACAACAAAAATGTCACCTAGTCTCACTCATCAACATATTCTAACTCAAAAGTGTTCATTTTCTTGACAACTCAGATCTAAAATAAAATGCCTTCTTTTCCCCATTCAAAATTACTTTCCATAACAAATCATTGAAGCCATTGAAGTCCAGTAACACTTTAAGTAATAATAAACATACATTAAGTTAAAAGGCACACACACACACAAACACAAGCACAAACATGCTCACATAAATTGCTCCAAACAACAGTACTAAATAGAAAACAGAGGAAAAAAAAAAAGATAAATTGAAGGATAAACACAAGAGGGGCTATTAATCCTTAACTAGAGATGACTACACAACCCGAAAGTAGAACAGGAGAACAAAAATTAGGGAAAACATATTTTAGAGGGAACACAAAAACTAAAAAAGTGAAGTATGGACCTGGAGAAGAAAAGGTGCTTGTCTTTTGATCATTATGAATTTTGAATCTTTCGATTGCGGCCCATTTGAAGCTTTGATCGCCGGAGGGACACCGGAGACTAGTGCTTGCAAGGTCGACGGCGACATTTTGAGGGGTCCGATTGGTTGACGCTTTAGGAAGGCGGTGTACTATGAAGTTAGGCGAGGGAGTGAACCACGTGCTGGTTACTTTATTTTAGCATGATCTCCATATATATAATACACCTACCAGTCTAACACACATATCTATAAGATATGGAAATGCTATGGAGCCAACGGTTAGCTCCATAACAAATTAGCAGGACTGCTATAAGATAAATAAGTTGTATCATTTAATATTAATATTAACTAGTTGAAATACAGGGGTGCACATTACAGCCTAAAAAAATTTGGTATAATTAATATTGCAATTCTAATAATGGTGAATTATAAATTATGTTTAAAAAAATGATTTTATTTATAATGCATACATGTTTGATTGATTAGATGTATTTTGTATGTATAGGTTTTTGTAGGATATTGTTGATATCCGAACTAACGAAGGCATTCACTATGAGACCACGCAGGGACGGATCCACCTTTGCCAGCCCAGGCCTCCTATTTCATTTTTAACAATTATAAGTTTTTTTTTTTTTTTAAAATATTATTGGGAAATAATTGGAAAATTTTCATCCCTCCTGCCCGAAATACAAAAAATTACAAAAATACTATCAATACACAAGATATTGTGACTCTACCTAATTGTCGAAAATCAACTACATATATGCCTAAAATTCAGTTACAAAGAAGTTGGATCCCATCCAATTTTCTCTCGCATAATTTCCGGTAGAAGTTTAAAGAATATGGAATTAGAATCACAGAAATTCTATGGTGCCCGTAGAATTTCTGTTAAAATCATGAGTATAACGATTAACAGTGTTTGCGTTTCATTTGGAAATATAGGAAATCTGAGTTTAAAGCTTTCTCATCATCAGTAAGCAGTACGATACACGGAAAAATATACTAAAAAAATGATCAAATTTTTCATCCAGATCGATTCACGTCAAATAAAATGAAAAAAAAAATTGAATTCGCACTATACTCTTCTTCACATCATAGAACAATTAACCAAAA